CTTGACTTGACTAAAAATTAAAAAAATGTGACCATGTGTACGATTCCATTTAGACAAGCCTATCCTTGTCGTTGATATTAAGCTTGCATTCCTGGTCTTTACCACATGCATCAGTTGGTCCCGGGTATTAGACATTTTGTGCTTATTTCTTTGAGACTGGACTGTGACAAATTGCCTCACAGCAGCATAATCTTAAAAAAATTAAAAAATTAATGGACAATTTCTTCTTGACTTGACTAAAAATTAAAAAAATGTGACCATGTGTACGTTTCCATTTAGACAAGCCTATCCTTGTCGTCGATATTAAGCTTGCATTCCTGGTCTTTACCACATGCATCAGTGGGTCCCGGGTATTAGACATTTTGTGCTTATTTCTTTGAGACTAGACTGTGACAAATTGCCTCACAGCAGCGTAATCTTACCGAGCCCCTTTTCTCATGCATCGAATTCATTTCGTCGGACCCTCGAGATATTTGCTCTAGATTTTTGTCTTTTGCCTCGTTGATTGAGGAAACTTTAATTAGGGATGGTAAGGTTCCCGTGGGAGCGGGGAGTTCCTCTCCGTTTCCGTTACTGTAAAGGGTGGGGACAGAGATCTTCAGAGAAATTTTTTAGGTTAAATGTTAAATTTGGTCCCTCAACTTTAAGAAATGTATATTTTTTATTCTCAACAATTTTTTACACTTTTTTGATCCCTCAACTACAAGAAATGCACTCCGTTAGTCCTCCTGTTAATTTGAGCTGTTAGCTCCACTTATGTGGCATTTTTTATATTTTTTTTTTATGATGTGGAGAGCAAAGTGATGATATGGACAAACATTTTGACATTTCATATTACTGTGTGTCAAATCCATTCAAATGGATCCCACTTCACTAATAAAGAAAGATATCTTTTGATGACATGACATATTAAGTGATATTTTTTTATATTTTTTTAAGGTTAAATGCTAGATTTGGTCCCTCAACTTTAGTGAGTTGCACATTTTTGATCCCTCAACAATTTTTTGC